GACCCTCCCTCGCTGTGACCCATAGATTTCTCACCCTCCCAGAAAACCAAGGAGTCCCCCCCACACACACACTGTGACCCATAGATCCCTCGCCTTCCCAAAGAACCCAGGAATCCAGTCTCACCACCATCACCACTCTAGCCACTGGGTACCACTGCCCTCCCTTGATAACATAGGTGTACTGACCACACACCCCCAGATGTTCTGAATCCACACACACTAACCACTAGGCCCCCTGGCCTCTGGAGAACCCCAGTGTCCTGTCCCTGCTGTTCCCAGGCCCGGTTCTCTGGCCCGCCCCGGGTGTGCGTGAACTGCGCTGGGATCACCATGGACCAGTTCATGCTCAAGCAGACGGAGGAAGCGTTCGACGAGGTGATCCGTGTCAACCTCAAGGTATGAGGTCCTCGGGTTGGGGGCAGGGCAGAGCCCCCCAGCTGGGACCCCGACCCAGCCTGCCATGACCCCCTCTCTCCCCAGGGAACCTTCCTGGTCACCCAGGCTGTGGCACGGGGGCTGGTGGACAGCGGAGCTCCTGGGGGCTCCATCGTCAACATCGGCAGCGTAGTGGGCAAGGTGAGAGCTGCGAGCTTCCTGGGGCAGTGCCCTGCGGGAGGGGAGAGAGTGGAGGCTGTGAGCTTCCCCGGAGCAGTGCCCTGAGGGAGGGGAGAGAGTGGGGGCTGTGAGCTTCCCCGGAGCAGTGCCCTGGGGGAGCAGAGAGAGTGGGGGCTGTGAGCTTCTCCGGAGCAGTGCCATGAAGATGCGGAGAGAGTGGGGGCTGTGAGCTTCCCCGGAGCAGTGCCCTGGGGGAGCGGAGAGAGTGGGGGCTGTGAGCTTCTCCGGAGCAGTGCCATGAAGATGCGGAGAGAGTGGGGGCTGTGAGCTTCCCCGGAGCAGTGCCCTGGGGGAGGGGAGAGAGTGGGGGCTGTGAGCTTCCCCGGAGCAGTGCCCTGGGGGAGCGGAGAGAGTGGGGGCTGTGAGCTTCTCCGGAGCAGTGCCATGAAGATGCGGAGAGAGTGGGGGCTGTGAGCTTCCCCGGAGCAGTGCCCTGGGGGAGGGGAGAGAGTGGGGGCTGTGAGCTTCTCCGGAGCAGTGCCATGAAGATGCGGAGAGAGTGGGGGCTGTGAGCTTCCCCGGAGCAGTGCCCTGGGGGAGCGGAGAGAGTGGGGGCTGTGAGCTTCTCCTGAGCAGGGCCATGGAGG